CCTGCTATAGAAGTTTTAGTGAAACGTATGAAAAATGAAAATTCGAAATTTTGCTCGAAAAATATTTTTTTCTCAAACAACAACCGTATTCTTTTAATTCTTTTATCGCCAGTTTATAGCGCGTTTTTCACTCTACAAAGTCCGGTATAAACAATATCTCCACTATACCTCCTTACTGAGTTGAAAGACTTTTTTCATCTCATGTCAGTAAATTATCAAACTTTTTAAAAAATTATTTTTTGAGGAACGATCATAGTTTCAAACCAAAAATCAAATATGGTTAGATGCGCAATAAAATTCTCTATCGAACCTGCTATTCAACTTTTTGATACTTTCAGATTTTTAAATCCGGCAGGGTGCTTCATCAAAATTGTTGTTCAATTACCATAAGTTCGATTTTATTTTAGCAAAGTTGTTTGAACAGCTTTTGCAGCTGATAGTTCTCTGGTGTATGTAATAGTTTTTATCATTGAACACTATCAAAAACGATTGAAATCAAAGGTAAGTTTCGTTTACAGTCTCTTACTCTGCTGGATGCAGTAGCATTTAGCCGATACTGTTCTATTTATCTAGGACATTACGAATAACCAACAGTAATATACAAGAAAAATGATTACTAGATTTGTTGAACGATATTCGAGATTTTAATTCAATGTGTTTACGATTCAACTGAACGTTGAAGTGTCAGTACATAATGTTCCGAAATAAAGAGCAAACATTTTTTAAATATAGAATAAGAAATCGATCTTTTCTTCCAACTATTTTTTCTTGTCTATTTGTTGATATAGCAAGACGTTTGTTATTAAATGAGTATAAAATATACGTAGAAAAAAATCACATAGAGTTCGCTAACATTTTTTTTTGTAAAGAAATAAATGATATAAAGTAGCGATTGTTCTTAATTATATTTATGAGGAAAAACAGGCTATAAGTTGGATACATGAAAAATAAAAATAAATTATTATTGCATCTACTTGATATAAATTATTTGTCTTTTAGTTAAGCTTGATCGAAAAATATTCGAGTGTCTCGAATTATCCCAAACTACTCTACCAGCCAGTTCTTTTACTTTAGAAAGATAAAGAATAGCTGATTTTTGCACTTTTTTGTAGACTACTCTTATCTTATCGCCTAGCCGTGAATGCCACTATAGGTTAATATCAACCTCAGAAAATTTTGTGGGTTAATCTGATTTAATCCTTTACTAATATGCGCTTGAAAAACAAGAATGACTAATATGTCTTACCTTAGGCGCATTTTCCAAATTTCTATCACCGGGCTGTTGTTTAAAAAACTCCGGCACAAGAGGTAAAATATCAGTCTGAAAAGAAAAAAGTATATGTGATGAAAACACCCCACATATAGATCTCTTGTGTTTAATGTCTTTGGTAGAATACAACGTGAATAACATAGTCGCTCTGATGATTGTTTCTGTCGAAACAAATACTTCAATTAATACTTTACATTTCACAATTTTTTTCGGCTTTAGAGTGTATTACGTACCGAAAATGTTTTGAAATGTGATTTATCAAACATATATTTTTCTGTTGTTCCACTTGTATCAACGGCTTGCAAAAACGATTGATATTCCATGGATTTTGCATTGTTTCTAAAATATTCGATTGCTTCATCGGACATATGCTGTTACTAACAATTATTCTCAGATGCAATTTGATCTTTGAATGTTCTCTTGTGGATTAATGTAATGAAGGATAGAAGAAGAAGAAGAAGAAACAGATACGAACTTTTCACGAGCGGTTTTACACCAATGAACACAAAATAAAACTATACTGGCACCACGATGAAATTTCGTATACAAATGTGTATGAGTAATAGGCTAAATAGAGAGACAAAAGAAGATGAAGAGATCTTGTTGTGATTAAAAGCATCTCTTTTTTTTGTTTCATTCGTAAGAATTTAATGAAGCGATAGTTTTAGCATGTCAGATGTTCGAAAGACGAAAACACAAGACATTATTTCACCATTCGTAGTGGAATTGCACGATCATAGAAGATATATCATTTTCTTATGAAATCTTAATCTAAGATCTTACATAAAAAGCCTTAACGATCTGAATAGAAATAACAGCTTAATTTGCCATTGGTCTCGATAATGTCAGTGATGTCCTACTTGAAAAAAATATTTTTATAATTTTTTGACATAGCCGTACGAACATATCTTTCTGAAGAGAAAAGAGTATTTGAGAGTAAATGGCATAAAAACGTGTTAATATATAGTCATCCGTCACTTTTGAAATATAACTATATAACTATGTAAGCATCACTAAATAATGTGTTGTGGTTCTATAACTCACGTGATGTGCTGATCTTCCTCTGATTGATCGACAACTTAAATCTGATCGCCTGTCGGCAGCTGATGACGATACATTAATACGATGGGCACTATTCGGTGTATCTTTTCGATAACGGTTGATGGGTGAACGATTACTACTCGTACCTGGGATGGCACTTTACCGTTACTATTGCGTTACTTTACCAAGTAATGTAACAGTTTACGTTACTCGTTGCTAGTAATGAGTAACGTAAATCTTTACCGTTACTGGTAATAATAACGGTAAAGTATCAGTCTTACTCGTACCCGAACGACTTTGATATGATACACTTAAACTTGAAGCACAATAACGATTATACGTCTGACGATGTGGAACAATCCTTAATAAAACTTCAAAAAATGATTTTATTGGTGGAACTTGTTGTTCCAATTGACTTTTTGAGCGATACGTAAGCATTCGTTCGCCATTATTCGTTGATGCGGATACTGTCAAACCGCCAGGCAACATTATTATTTTTCTAAATTAGAGAATCAAATTAGATACAGATCAAGAATACGTGATTTTTGCGCTGTCAAATTAAATGTGTATGTATATAACTCTATTTTTCATGCTAATTCTACAATATATGTAATGACAGAGAAACATCAGCTTAATTCCATACTTTCTGATATCTGCGATAGAAACAGTTTTCTGGCTGATTGTTACATAATAAAAAGCAATCTTTTATAAAGATATGATCTTTTACTCTTGAATGAATTCTACATTTATATCTCTAATATCAGATTGAACATTCTACGTTGCTCTTAACTACTTCTGGGCTTTAATTTTACAATCGATAATTATTACTATGAAGAGTATAATTTCTCATCAAAATATTTCACTTACCCTGACTATTTAATATCAAGATATTGTAACATTATAACAAAATTGCACAACACTCATGAATTTATTTCATACTCTAATAACTACATATCGGATGGATTATAAGTTATCTATAACATCGACGAGAGAGAGAGAGAGAGAGAGAGGAAGAGAAAGAGAAAGAGAGAGAGAGAAAGAAAAGAAAAACACCAAAACATCGATGTATATTTTTTTACACATACAATAAGGTTTTGTTTCTCAAGTTTAGTGAGACCGTATCCACAATAAAACAAGAAAAACCAGCAGTAGACAAAAAAAATGATTATAATTTTTTTTTCGTTTTTTTTTAAAATGTACATCTGAATATGACAAAAAACAACAACAAAGATCGTATAATGATTTGACTTTGTGCATGTTTAGAGAAAGTAGACACTTGAAGGACAAAAAAACGAAAAGCGAAAAGGAATATATAATATACACCCTTCATTCAATTATACTCAAAAAATAAAATAAAATAAAATAAAAGTGAGCGATGATGATTCGATATAATAGTTTTGTGAAGAAAAAGAAAACGTTAATTAAACGTTTGTTAAACAATGAAATCTTACAAATCAAACACATTAAATATCCTATAAAAAAAATTCCAGTGTAGTACTGGTAAAAATTAGTGCCGCATGGCTGCCACACTAGCAAAAATCAGTGTCACACTGAAATTTATTTAATCAGTTTAATTAGCTTTTTATTATGGTTGTTTATACTGAATTTTGTATTTGAGTGCGGCACTGATCAGTACCACATTGATATCCGAAACTATGCGGCATTGCCTCGGTATTTCTCTTATGAGAAGGAAAAGATGGAGCCAGAAAGACATTCGAAATATTAGAAGTAGACTGTGGTGTTAATATAGACAGAAATTGATAAAACAAAATGGTGATTGAAAACAAATCTTCGGCACTGGTGCGAGATTTGCTCATTCTTTCTGACACTGGTGCTCATTCATGCACAATCATTGCCGCTAAAATATTTTTTTGTAGGGTATCTTTCGATGGTATTTGAAGTTTAACACATGTAAAGTGAAAAGTAGTATACTCTGGATAAACGAACAAACATGGCATCTTGACGGTATTTCGTAGCAAGAAATGTTCCAGTTTCTCGCGCTTCTAGCACGAAATTAACGCTTTTTTTTCCTGTACTTCTTTACTTAAGAAGTTGTACCGAGGTTGTTAAGGACTCATTGGGATGACAGAAAAATACTTTAAACAATATTCTACAACGATCAATCAATGTTAGTGACAACAATATCTAAATACATGATTTATTATCGGTTAACAATTATATCTTAAATTTAAAGTATAAAAGGTAGAAAATATCCAATTACGTCATCTAGACCTTCTGTTATTTCTTACGAGTTTCGTCACATTATTTAGACGAATAAACTCAAATTTATATTATTGGGGAGAACGTCATCAAAAGAGCAGGTAGAGTTTTATGTTACAGGACGCTCATATATTGCACATTACACAACTCTCTCAACAATCAAGACCTCATTGAAGTAATCCACAGTACACAACCATTTCTGTATGAGAATGATACACTTTTCCATTTTTTAAAATTTTCAAAGTAAAAGTGCTTATACTGACGTTATATAAGATAATAAAGTAGAAATTTTCTGTCAGTCACTTTTCTCCAAAATCGCGACTTTATTAAAAAAAGTGACAAACTTCCTGAACTTGCCAAAAGAAAACCTAGAATGGGCTACAAATAACACCTGCTACAGATTACTCGATAGATTTTGACGAGCCAATCTGATGAGGTAAGTTTCAACGAGTTCTGCATTATTTTGTTTTTTCGTACAGATATCGATACTTTTATGTGACGAAACATTTAGTATGAAACGTCATTTCTTCAAAAACATTTTGCCGTTCTTATTCCACAGCGAACCATCGAAGTTTTCTTTTTTTTTATCAGAAGACTGGCACTCATAAATTATCCACAATACAACGGAAAGACATGTAAGTTGGTCCACTAATAAAATGGTGATTCATTTATGTATATGCTCATAGATGATACTAACGTCCTTCTAATAACTACTATGTTCCTGAATATAACTTTTTAATTTTCATATAAAAACCATTGAATATTTCTTAATTTTCACTTTCAAAAGGCTTAGGTTTAAAAGCCGAAACAAAATTCGAACACAGACAGTTTAACAATTCTATTCGAATTTTTAATACTAACTGACACAGATGTATGGATGAGAATAAACCAAGGAATATTAATTGAAGATCTTCTGTTTAGACCATCCAGGATGTTTGTACTGTAGAAACTCTTCTAACAATATTAAGTGAACACAGAACGTGTGGTCTAACAGTTTTCATAGGAAAAGCAGAGGTCAGTTCATCCAGTTTGTCACAACATCTGACTTGAAAAAACTATAGTTATATTATAACACTCACAAGTTTATGAATTTTTTCTATTTCTATGTTCTCATTTTTTGAAAAAATTGTTATTTTCATAAAGTGCCTGCCTTAAGCACATACTTTAAAAACAAATTTTGAAAAGCACCCTCCGTTCGTGTCCTGAAGATACTTGATGTATATTAAACAAAAACACGATATACTTCACTAGTAAAAATAAACACACTTTAAGTGTATAAAACATACACTTCATTCATATGCTTTAAACACTGATCAGTCATTGACCAGCAGAGTAGAAAATTTAAATAGAAACAAAATGTGATGTTGTTTCTGATGTTGGTTTATCAATGAGTGTAGATGTACGTAAACTGCATTTGAGGACTCAGATTGATATCCTAGAATTATTTGGTCATATAAGTAGCGTGTAGTCTGGATCATAGCCAAGATTTTGGTAAGGGGAGGGCATCTAGGAAAAACATTCATTTTCACTATTGTGAATTTCCATTTTAAAGTTAGGTGAACCATAAATTTTTTCTTGCGTTTCATCCCCACATGGCGTTCATCGCTTTGACTGTTCTAAGTTACTACAAATGATAACAAGAAAAAAAAGACTCTTTGAAAGGAGAACAAAAGAGAAGAAGATCTAGAAATGTCTAAAAAACTTTAAAAATAGCGAAAATTAGTTCTGTTCAATCACTGGTGAATTTGATTCGACATTTGTCTTTGCAAAACTCATTAACAACATCTTCAACATTCAATTCTTTTGCATGTTGTCGATGAATATGAATGAGAACAAGACTGCTTTATCGATTATCACCGGTACTGTTTCGTAAACAATTTTTAATTAATTTCATTGTTGAAAACGATCGTTCAGTTATTTCAACAGTTATGGATAAAACAGCAAATAATTCAAATAATTGATTTAAACTCCGAAAGAATGATGGACATTGAACTAATTCATTTGATGTTTTATTAATATGTGTTGGTCTCTTACCGTTATTCTTTTCCGTTTATTTTTTTCAGATATGTACTAACAATAGCAACCAATATTTACCATTACAAAATAACGTTGATGGTAGTGATTTGTCCCTAGCTCCCAGCTTATCTCAACCCAAACTTCGCCGAAGGTTCTGCGGGATGGTTTCCAGAAAGGATGGTTCACTGAACCCCGACGAGATATTTCCAAGATTGAGGACATAAGTAGTATTTATTGATAGTGAGAACACATTTTATCTTTATAGCATATTTGAGAAACGCCTCAACAATTATGCTGAGGGGCGTAATGACGTTACTGAAAAACAAGATAGTAGCACGCTAAGACGGTGGTAATATCGAGAGTTTTCACTACCACCTACCAATATGAGTAAGGTTATATCTTATCTTGACCAAAACTTGGGTACATATTCCAATTTGGATAAGTACTGCTGTAGAATAAAGAAGAAGCGTATCGTTAACTAGTGACCACTGGACTTGGCTATTTCATTGGCTCTCACGATCGCTTCTCCTTATTCTTTGTCGTCGCGTCGTTCATTATTATATACTGTAGAGCTCTGGTTACATCGAAAGTATCATCGAATCGTACAGCCAGTAAGATCTGATTCTTAACCCTTTCCAGCCGGCTGTTTCGAAAACACAGCAAAAAGTGTTGCCAAATGGCAACATCAGGCTGGAAAGGGTTAATATGAGTTGTATGCTTGCATATTTCGAATAATTATAGTCATTTTTAAGCGCAAACGGAGCCGTACGTTCAGTACAGACTTTGTAAAAAAATATGTTGTCTTACCATGAAAAGCGAAATCACACTGATGTCTCACCTTGAAGACTTCACTTATTCAGACGCTAAAAAGATAAAAATCAATTTCAGAGCATCATGCTGATAAAATATCAGAAGAAGCGCACAAAGACATCGATTTGAAAAGCTATTCTAGTGGAACAGATTGTCAGTCATCGAATCGAATCTCTGAAACCATAGCAAGTGCTAAGGTAGGAATTGCGTTTTTAATTACGAAAACTTACAAAATAGTTGACTGATAAAGACTACCAGTTGGCACCATCTCGTCTATCATGAAGCTCATGCATGCTGAAATAATATAGATTAGTGTGACAGGACTGAAATACAAGATTACATTGATGAAATTAACCGGAAATCTATGAAAGATCAAAAAAGATAAGATTGAATTGTTCGAGCGGTAAAATATCTCTTCGTCTACTGTTTATCATTCAAATAAAATGAAAGAGCTGCTGAATACTTACCCTGTTCTCTGCATTTCATTCTGTGACTAAATCTCTTGCTATAGCAATGATTTTTTTCTCTTGGTTTTAGATTATTGATTTCCTAAACTGCATCATTACAAATTTCAATATAGTTTTTTTTGTTTTAATGTTTACCACTCGTTACTGCGTTCATGATATATTTACTCGCAGCATTTACACTTTTGTATTGTTTGATTAGTCAACATGTCATCAACAGCACAAGTAAGAAACTTGTTTGGCTTTTCATTTCTGTGGACGGAACCTCTCCAATTCGCGAAATCCTAATTCAATGATAATTTTTTGACCTTTACATCAAGCGTGAAGCTTATTTTATGATTTCTCTTTTTTTCTTCTTTCTAAAGATCAACAGCAATTCCAACCACCACTAATTTCACGTGAATCAGCTGATAACGATGTTCCGATCGGTTCACGTAAAGTGTTCACCTGTAATGCTATTGGTTATCCGCCCCCAACTTACTTATGGTTGAAAGATTGGAAAAATTTGACGCAAAATTATTCATCAGCAAGTTATTATGAAATACAATCAACAACCAAACATGATCAAGGATATTATCGATGTTTAGCAAAAAATGATGTTGGTGTTGTTTCGAGTAAAGCGGCTAAATTAACTGTATGGTGTAAGTTGACAATTGTTTCACGTTCATTCATCACTAGTTGAACTTGTTACTTTTTTTTCTCTAGATTTCGATGGTTATGAGCAACAACCATTAGATCAAGTGGTTAACGTGAATGAGAATGATGCAGCTATATTTAATTTGCCTGACATTAGTTCATCACCTGAGCCTACCATACAATGGTACTCACGTGATATTTACAAGAAAACAACTGGACAAAAAATTGTTATGAATGAAAAATATTTTATTACATCGAAACATAATCTAATTATATTGTCGGCTAATTATGATGATGAAAAAATGTATTATGCAACAATAGAAAATATATTTGCTGGAGGTTCTAAACAGTCGCCCGCCTATCGATTAGAAGTTAATAGGCGAAAATGTATGCTTATGTTTGTTTGAGGACTATCAGTTATCTCTAAAATCTAGCTATTTAGTTACAAAAATTCTTTATCTTTAGTTTACGCAACTAATGATGCACCTGTTATTATTGTAAAACCATCTGATCAAATAGCGATTGTTGGAGATCCATTAAAAACGTTTGAATGTGTTCCGAATGCTGCGTAAGACTTTTATTTTTGTTTTCAACTATTTGAATTTGTAAATATTGTTTATTTCTAGTTCACGGGAACAAATCGAAATCTTATGGCAAAAAGACGAAAAATTTATCGATTCAACATTTGGCCGATATCATATTGGAATTTATAATCGAACATTAGAAATCAGAAGTGTGAGTTTAGAAGATGCAGGCAACTACACATGTTTGGTTAGACTAAAAAATACGTTAGTGTTTACAAATGCAAGTGCTCAACTCGTTGTTCAAGGTAAAACAAATTTCTTTTCACTTTTAATTAAAGTCAAGACATAATATGTTCTTGTTCGTTTGTCTAGTTGTACCAATGATCATAACGCCTTTTCCCGCCATTCATGAAGTGGATTTACAAGATGATATTACACTAAGGTGTGGTGGCACACCCTCGTCAATAGTTAATGTAACTTGGTATAAAAATGCAGTGCAATTAACAAATGAATCATCACGGTAAGCGTTTGCTTGTAATGTAGAAACAAAAAAACAACCTAAAATAAGACAAATAATCGAAAGATGTAATCAAACTATGTACATTCAATAAATTACAGCCTTAGCTATATATTTTAATGTGATAATTTTTGGTTCGATAGACCTAAAGTTCCGTTTCGACAAGTATTAACATTCTCTTCAACTTTATAAACATAACTCTCTCGAATAGGCTCCTAATTGTTTTTTACCGATTTTGATTCAATTTGCCTCTTTTTTTATTGTCTAGATAGATCAATTGAGAATGTAAGTAGAAGATCGATAAGACATTGATTTTCGCTTCACGTGATCATTTTCAAGCTCACGCTTTTTGTTGTGCAATGTGCTTGATGCCTGCTTATTGTCTTTTGTGTTTGCAACCTAGTCAGAATATGCATTCGTCATTCTAGTTTTCACTTGTTTACTTGTTTAGCATTCAGCTTCAAAATAATTCATTAATATTGTATCAGATTGAACGCAATGATGAAGGAATGTATCAGTGTTTTTTAACAAATACAGTTGGAGAAGATGCACGATCAACATGGCTAAAGATAAAAAGTATGTAATGCATATCAATTCTTTGAAATTTTAATATTGTGTAATCTTGTTACTTCAAGGTGAACAACCAACAGTTATTGTGAGCGATGATCTAACAGTATTTAATGAGAAGGATATTACATTAGCATGTAAAGTTACCGGCTCTCCCAAACCAACAATTTCTTGGTTTAAATGTAAGTTAGGATAACCGATGCTGTTAAGCCAATAAATCGTTTTGCTTTCTAGTTGACAACACGACCAAGAAAGAGGTTGAACTTAATGATCAGAGATTTCATATTGATCATCAAATGGGTATATTGTCAATCGTGAAAACAACTCGTAACGATTCCGGACAATACATGTGTCAAGCAAAAAATATACTTGGTGTTGCGAATTCAACGGTCACATTACTCGTTCTCAGTAAGTGTCTTCTATTTAAAAAAAGCTTTGACAATCCTAATCGGTTTGTTTTTCAAGGACGAACAAAAATTGTGACAATTCCAAAAGAAATGACTGTTGTAAAAGGGCAACCAGTGATTTTATCTTGTACTATATTTCATGAAACGAATATAGATGTCAATATTCAATGGTCATTCAATTACCAACCGATACCAGTGACAAAATTAGTCAATGGTACAGATATTCAAATTGACATGGCACGAAATGAAGATACTGTAAGTTACAGACTTGGCTATAGTTCTACAACAGTGTTCTTGTACTGTTCTATCTTTGTAGGGAAATTATACCTGTGAAGTTTTATCAACAGCTGGAAATGACACAAAAACTGTACAGTTGAAAGTCATCGGTAAATTACTCCTCTTTCTTTGAATACCACAAGTTACTGTTGCATATGAATTTAGAATTACCGTATCCACCAACGTTTGTTCATGGTAGTGCTATTAAACAACAAAATAAATCTGTTGTTAACGTGACTTGGGTGCCAAACTTTGATGGAAATAGTCCAGTAATACGTTACACCATTCAATATAAAGAAATTAATTCAGGTAAGTTAGACACTTGTTACAAACGTATCTGCTTATATAATTAATTTATTATTTTAGAAAATCTTTTATCTGATGATATCGGTTGGCAAGTTAAGAAAGAAATACCTATGAATGACACAAAAACATGGACAGTTCTATCAGGTTTACATCCGTATTCAACATATCAATTTCGTTTATTCGCTACAAACCATGTCGGAGAAGGTAATGTATTTGACTACGAGGGACCTTAAGTCATCACCTATTATCTTCTGTTTCTTTTAAGGACAAACAAGTGAACCAAGTAACAACGTCACATTACCGGAAGAGCGTAAGAATAAATTATCTAGTCTTTTTCGAATAGGTTATTTTACTAAATAGTATTTTGATCCCTTTACGCGCAGATTTTTTGTCAGATATCATCGGATCTTAAAAAAAATGTTATTTTTCTTAGTTCCAAGTGGTGCTCCTCGATCAGTCGTAGCTACTGCACGTGACTCAACCTCGATCATAATCGAATGGTCAAAACCAGTTGAATCGACAATAAATGGTTTATTAACTGGTTATGAAGTTCAATATGCCCTGAATTATCCGAATCTAAATTGGAAAGTAATTCATGTCAATACATCCAAACAAGTGCTCATATTAAAAGGTTCACCTACATTGTTTCGTTTCTTTTGAGTTTATATACGTTTATTATTATATTTAGATTTAATGACATGGGAGTCATATTCAATTCGTATAGCAGTGTCAAATAATATTGGTATTGGTCCGTTTAGTGAGATAGTTAAAGTGCGAACAATGGAAGGCACCCCAAGTAGAGCTCCTATTATAATAAAATATCAATCATTGAATTCCACAGGAATATATATCGAATGGAATCCTCCACAGGCGTCTTATATCAATGGAATCCTTAATAGTTTCAAGGTTTGTTAATGAGAAGGTTTTCAATGTGAGATGTTATAGTACTTCGTAAAGAACTATTTTCAGCTTACTTTTTTTCTTGACTTTGTTTCATGCAATCATCTTGCTCTACTTTTAGCTTGAAATAATTGATTTAAACCGTAATACAACAGCTTATTTCTATGAAAAAGCAAAACCTATCGAAACGTATCATCTTACATTGCTCAATATGAAAAAATACACAAATTATTCCATTTGTATCAATTCGGCAACAAAAATTGGAGAAGGTCCATTGTCAGCACCAGTGTATATTAAAACCCTAGAAGATAGTATGTTGCACTTATTTTTTTCTGTCGTTTCATTTTATTCTAGTTAAATTTCCAAGCAGATTGTTTACTATGCCAATTGAAATATGCTTTTAAAAATCTGTTTTTATCCTTTAGTTCCTGATCAAGTTGAAAATCTAACATTTTCAAATGTTTATGATACATCGCTTGTTGTTAGTTGGCAACCTCCTCTCGAACCAAATGGTCGTCTAATTGGCTATGAAATTAAATGTCGTCCCATGAACGGTAGTAACAACATTGATGAAGAAAATAAAAATTTAAATATCGACGCTAATGTGACAATGTATAAATTAAATGGTTTATCAGCCACAACATGGTATACAATCTCTGTACGAGCTAAAACATCAAAAGGATATGGTTTGAAACGTTCAGCATCGATTCAGTCTGGTTTTCCGCCAGGTATGCATTTTGTTGTCCAAATTTATAATCATTTTAATGTTTACTGTCTACAATCATTTTTTAGAACTGCCATCACCACCAAATAATCTTGAAATTGTATCAGTTGAACAACGTACTGTTATTATTAATTTTACACCAGGATACAATGGAAAAACAAATATTAATCAGTATATTGTAGAAATTCAAACTGGAAGTAATAATTCAAAATGGATTGAAATTGAGGTAATATACAAGGTTTTTTCTGTTAACTGAATGCTCTCTTACCGCACATACGCAGTTTTTGAATGATGAAATAATATTTCGTTACTCCATAACCATCACGGATCCAAAATTTTGAGAAATAGTTCTCTCTAATTTTTATTTTTTTCAATTTATTTTTATTAAGTCCATTACAATTGATCAATCAACATTAACTATTTCAAACTTGCATCCTTATCGTCTATATCGTGTTCGAATGTATGCTGTGAATATAAAAGGTCGTAGTAATGTTAGTATGGCAACGAAATTTTTTCAAATGAAGCAAGATGTACCGTCAAGTGTACCATTAGTTGTCTTAACTTATGCTCAAAATTCATCAACAATTCGTGTACGATGGACGGTACGTTTTACTATTTATATTTTTCATCCTTCCGAATTGAAAACTTTTTCTTTATTTTTAGCCAATTGTAACAAATGATTGGAATTCATTACCAGGTGGTTACTTACTATTAATAAATGATACTAAAATAAAACAGATAAAAATTGACGATCCACTATGTTCGGAATATGAGTTTTATGATCTACTTTTTTTTACGTATTACAATATAACGATTCATACGTTTAATCAAGTTGGACTGAGTTCAACATCAATTTCAAGTATTGAACAAACCTTCGAAAATGGTATAAAGGGTAGAATGACGATTTTTATACATGTTTTTGACGTTTCTTTTAATTTTTAGTTCCACTTCAACCGCCATCGAATATAAAAATTGATGTATTTAATTCATCGTCGGTTAAAATTTCTTGGACACAATTAGAAAGCAAAGATCAATGTGGAATTATTACGAGCTATAAAGTAAGTATGACGCGAACAAATTTTTTAAACTTTGTACTGTATTTCTTTGAATAACTAATCGACTATGTATTGGTTTAGATTGTTTATTATGCTAATTCGATGTCGGAGAATAGGACGTACATTAATATTGATAATAATGTTCAATCCTTTCTGTTATCGTATCTAGATGCTTATACAAAGTATTCTTTATCAATGGCAGCTTGCACTTCCATCGGTTGCGGACCATTTACCTCAGACTTTAGTTTTCAAACAGCAGAAAGCGGTATGTTATATTGTTTTTTGTTTTAATAACAGTAATTATCTCATCTTTAAATGTTTTGTTTTAGTTCCATCAAAACCGACAAATGTTTTTTTTCCTGACGTAACACATTGGACAACACGAATAACATGGGACAATCCACTAAAATCCAATGGTATCCTTCTTGGTTATCGTCTGGTATATTGGCGTACAGATGATGAAATAAATCGAATTGAAATAAATAACATTACAAATGATACACACTTTTATTTTGTTGACAGTAAGAATCAATTGGATCGTCTGCTGTTCATGTAGTAGATGACGTCGCTTTTGTTGTAGATCTTGAGAAGACAACCACGTATACGTTCACACTATGTGCCAAAACAAGAGTCGGGTGCAGCGATGAGAGTGTAAATAGATTACTAACGATGGAAAAAAGAGGTACGGGAATTTTTGTTAAAAAAATTCACTTTTAAATTCTCATGATAGAAGGTCCTCTAGTGCCATGCTGAGTTTCGAATACGATATATACCAGTTTGTAGAGCTCAATGCACTGATTACGATGGCATAAGCCGTTTTTCCTCATAGGCCTTATCTGAAGAGCCACGTCGATTTTACATTTTAAACGGTCACTCTGATATACTTATTGGAAGACATGGATTTCAAGGATATTATAGCTTCAAGCGGTCGGGTTTTTGCCATTGGATGCGTCGTATTCGACTGTATATTCTCACATGTTAAACTAAAATAGAGGGTCTTCACTTTGCATATTTCAATATCACTAATATTGTAAATAGAAACTCTTCGAGTGAAATATTTCAGTAGTGTACACGCACAGTATTAGTGATATTGAAATATGCAAAGTGAAGACCCTCTATTTTAGTTTAACATGTGAGAATATACAGTCGAATACGACGCATCCAATGGCAAAAACCCGACCGCTTGAAGCTATAATATCCTTGA